TTGGGGTGGGGGTGTGCATTTTAAAGGGACGGAGCTAGCTTCTCCTGACAGGACCACAGTGGATAAAGGTCTCCTGCTTTGCTAGTTCATTTACTTCTAACACCACATACTGAACACTGACTTCATACAAGAACACTTACCCAAAAGCTAGGCATTAAAGGGTAAGACTTATTCCATGAAGAATTAAAAATCCAGTGGACTGGACAGGTGTACACATACTGTAGTCTGAGTTCTTTACTGACACTCTGTTCCTCTATTGCCTTGACACTGAAATTTCTTTCTTGTATGAAGGGATGTTAATAGATGGCAGCAGCTTGTGGTCTTTTTTTTTTTTTTTAAAGATTTATTTATTTGTACATACAGAACTGGGGTACAGGCTGGAGGCTCAGGGGCAGTGAGAGGCTTCATCAGAGACAGAGTGGGGAACAGAACAGGCAGATTGGCCAAGTACACTGTTGAGGGGAGCAGCGGGTGGGTTAGGAGAGGTCTGCCACACCATGTGGTCACCTCCGGGGCAGGTGGGGATCGAACTCATGCGGAAGTGGCTTTAGATTCTCAGTGCTGTGCTTTAACCCGCTGCGCCACCAGGGAGGGCCAGCTTGTGGTCTTTTAACATCTTGTTGGGCAACATAAAAAATCTGGCAGCTGTATATTGGCCTAACAAAATTTTTTGAATGCTATTTTTAAAAAATTTCTTTAAAATTAAAAAAAAATTAAATACAAAAAAAAAAAAAGCTATTTAAGATTCCTCTCCACCCCAATCTCAAAATCTGAGGTGGAGGGAGAATAAGATGCAGATTATTGATCCAACTTGATCTCCATGTGTATCAAAGTGGATAATACAAAGTTGGGAAAATTATGAAGTTAGTTAAAAAATGAGGTCTAGAGGGGGGTACTGATTTCTGTAATTCTGCCAGGCCAGAGTTAAGGAAGCATAAGCAAAGGTCCTTCCTATTCCTGTCAGTCCTGGAGTCAAGAACTCCAGGCTGCAGAGTCTCACTGATCAGGCAGTTTGTATCTGAGGCTCCCTTAATTTGAAGGGGACAGAAAGAAGTAGATTGTGGCTGTGCTCCTGATCGTGCTGGGAAACTCTGATCTTTATGCCTCAGTTTACCATCTGGACATTGGTTTCCACATGGGTGATGAAGCAGCAATAGTTTATGTAGGGATTACTCTGTGCCTGGCATTCTTTGAGAATTTTGGATATCTTCCTAATCCTGTAATAATGGTATGAGACTAGAGCCCGTAATTCTCCCATTAAAGTAATTTGCCCAAACATTTATAGAATGGTCGATGGTAAAGTTAAGACCTGAATCCTGACTACCTGTCAAATGCCACCCCACTTCTTCTTTTAAAAACTCTTATATTTGCATATCCTTTTAAAATTAAGTCATTAATTCTATCACTGTGGAGATAGGTTGTCTTCTGTTTCTCTTTTTAAGAAAGAAAAATTCCTATGGTGACATCATAGCAAAGGTGTCTTTGCTCAAGAAATACTGGCAAAGGACATCCATGCCAACTTTAAATACAAATTGATATGAATTTTAATACTGTGCACCATGCCATTAATTCTAATTATTAGCATTTTTTTTCTGTTTGTCCTTCCCATTTCTAAAATGTTGTGATTTAACATATAATCTGTCACGGGTTTTAAATGATAAGGAAATGACATGACAGAGAAAAATAAGTGAGAGTAGTGGGAAAGATAAAGGTTCTTCAGCAATATGGTGGTCCTCCCAGAACCTTCTGCCAGGAACCTTTCCTATACCTGCCAACAAGTCTGAGCTGTGCAGTGAAAGTCAGTGTACATAGTGAATGATCTGAGAGGAAGTTAACGGGATGTATCACAGACTCAAATAAACTAATGGTCACAGCCAACTTCAATAGGGATGTTTAAGTGGAGCAACTGTTAAAGCAGGAAACAGGAACTTTTACATAATTTTCTACATAATTAGAACTTTTTCTTAATAAATAGTTTCTTCTCTATGTATCATTTTTGCATCTATAATGGAGGCTCACTAATGCATCCATTGGTCATTTTGGGGTGTCTGGAGCAAGTCTATGCTCCATCTTGTGGTACTAGACCCTGCCATACAGAGGACCATGCTCTTCTCACCACAGGCCTGAGGATGTGTGGACAAGAAGATTAAATAAAAGCTTATAACATTACTGGTCATTTCCCACTTTGGCCCAGAGGGCTAGTTCCCTCCATCTTTCAGAGGATGGATGGCCTCTGGGCCAAAGTGGGAAATGACCAGAAATGTGGCTTTTTTGCCACCTACTTCTTGGATATGATTTTAGGCTCCTCCTCCTGAAGCTGACTTCTAAAGGTTGAACTTTCTCAGGTCTAGTATCTCTCCTTTCTCAACACTCATACTGTTGCTCATGCAGTTCCAAGATTCTGTACAACACAGGATGGGGGTGATAACAGTATCACCTTATGAACAGTCTCTCTTCCAAGGTTTGGATTCCTATAACAGCTCTCTCCACATATAGATGTCTTGGGCATCTCAAATTCAAACACCTCCAATTCAGAGCTTGATTCCTTCCTTGGCTTCCCACAAACAACATGTCTGGGTTTTCTATTTCAGTAAAGCACACCACAGCCTACCCGGCTGTCATCCTAGACAGAACACCTAGCTCTGTCCTTTTGACTCCCAGAGTTCACCTCCACGGCCACCACCTGACCCAGGACATATCACTGGGGTTGCTGCCTCTTTTGATTCCCCATGAAGCAGCCAAAATGACCCTGAGATGGCCTTCAGTGTGTGGGAGAGGATGACCTCCATTACCTCTCTTACTTCTTTATGGTCACTTGTATTACCCATCTATACCTAGACCAGCTTCCACGTGAGTGCTGGGGAGATGCCCAGCAATGTCCCCTCCACCTAGTGCCCCCCACCGCCCTTCCATGCATGTCATGGGGCTCTCTCTCAGTGCCTGCCCATCTGTTAGGTGATGGTGCCTGGACTCCTAAGGATGAGGACGGGCTGCTGTCACACACACTCTCCCTGAAATCAGTGAATACTGCTAGCTGGTTCCAAATAGTGTGAATTCCTAGATTACATGCTCATCGATTTCTTCTATTAGTATGAATGTTTAATTTACAGATTTAAAATGTAAAAGCGTTCCTTTCTTGTTGCCCAACGAGTTACATGCAGTTAAACAGATTTTCTTGTTATCAAAATAGTAAACATATGTAATATTTCTTGATTCTCACTTTCTAGAGTACCAATTATTCTCTAATAGTAAAGGAAAGAATTTAAAATAGTTAAAGAAAATAAGAAAATAAGCATTTCAGGGAAAACAATGAGTCAGTCTGGGACCAGGAAACACATGGGTAAGATCATTAATTCTAGGACTTCAAAACAGCAACAGACAAAGGATTAAGACTGCTCATTACCAATGCAGGGCGGTCAGCACAGTAGTAACTGATTTACTAGAAAGCAATGTTATCTAACTAAACGCTACTACATTTCCGTCTGTCCAGAAAGAATTCCCACCACCCTTACCCAGTTTGAGCAACTTGCCAGTATGTGAAGAATCCGAACCGTGACCAGTTTTTCATCTACAATCTCACCAACTTCATTATGAACTAAATCTCCACCTAGGAGGGAGGAGCTGAGCCTTGTGTTCTGAATATGTGAAGCTTGTGGAAACACAAACAGCCTCTGCGCACACGCACACGATCGACATTGCCTGTCGCCTCCAGCCCAGTCACTAAAGATGCCGTGTCTAACTTTTGTCCTCCTTTCTTTTAGAAGTCGCTTCATGGTTAATGAATGCTAAGTGAAGTAAGTCAGCAGGAGAAAGATAAACACTGGGTGGTGTCACTGTCTATGGAATATAAAGTACTAAACTAAGAGACAGATAAAGACAAGCTTGAAAACTAGTTCCTGAAACTAACTACTGAACTGAAGTATTCAGAGGGGGAGGGGGCAGGGTGAGATCAAAGAGGGAAGGCACTGATGGTGTCTGGTGGGGCACTATGGGGAAATCTGTGGTGGGTACACTATGGTGCCAATACCTAATGGGGGTCCAAATATTACCTCAATTGAAAATAAATTATCTTAAAAAAAAGAAAAGGAAAATTAAATCTCAAGACATACAGGAATAAAGAGGATAAGATGCAAAATAATTTGATTAACTCCATAGTTCATTTTTTTAAAAACCAATCTAATGGCCAGTTTGGTGTTTGAAGTTTAAAAGAGTCTTTTCAAAAATACGATGTTTAGGTTAAAAAAAAAATTGAGTATGTTAACAAAAGTCAAAATTAGTATGAAAATCACACAGCAAGTTAAGTATAATAAAAATAAAGTGGAAGTAAGAAAGTAAATAACTAAATATCCCTTCACATCTTTTCTGAGGATAAGCAGTCTTTGGGAACTTAACCCCTTGTCTCCATTTCTTGCATAGGTAAGAAACTCCTCTTTCTCCAGTGAAACTTGTGTCTGGTCTACTGGTTGACACTTTCAAGTAAGGAACCCCCTTCAGTATGATAACGATTTTCTCTTCATTAATTTTTTAAATCAAATATTTACTTACTGTGTCTACTTCTACTGTGTATAGAGTGTGAACTTCTGCTATCTTAAATGAGAGCTTGGGTTTAATAGCAAAAATCTGCTATCTTAAATGAGAGCTTGGGTTTAATAGCAAGTATTATTTTAAAATTTAATTTGGGGGCTCTTGCTCCAAAATAGAAATATAATAGTGACTATCAAAGTACATTATAAAACGTGAGTATGTCTGCAGATCTACAGATAGCAAAAAATGCAGAGAACTAAATACAGTGATCATGGTAAGGAGAATTCAGTTGCTTCGGATCTTCCCTGAAACACCGACTCCTATTAGATTTTCAGTTGCCCGTCTATTCATGTTAAAACTGATTTCTGTGGTGAGATATCAATTGTTAGTTTAAGAAACCTGGTATCCTGGTGGCAGCATAACTGAGGGTACAACCCAACTTTACAGAGACCTGGACTGATCAGGAATGGACTTACTATTGGGCACAGTCGATGAGCTGGTATTCGTTTGACCTCTCAAAGCATGCCTTCACGCCTTCATCATCCCAGAGTTTCTTCACGTGATCAAAGAATTCCTAAAATTGAAGAAGCTCCAAATTAGAAAACTATCATCTTTTCATAAGTTCAAAAACAAAAAAAGAAGCTGCACACCCATGTTTTCAGGTAGCTTGTAAATTGCTTTCTTTCCTCTTTACATATAATAAAGAGCAGACATTCTGCCTTCAGCATGTTGGGAAAAGGATGCATCTGTGAACTCATCATTTAAATCAACAAGTCCAAACATAACTGAAAGTTCCTCCAAGTGAAAACTGTTAAGTCAAAAATTAATGACATTTATGAACTATAAATTCAGCTATCAGTATAATTTTAAAGTTTTTAGTGTTCAGCAACTTAACTAATGTAATTGCTACTTTTGCAATGAAAAAACCTGTTTGTTATAATGGCAAGTTATTTTTCTGATGCCTCTGAATTCTTTACGTGTCCAGGATTATGAATAGACATGGATGAGTTACAATTGGCTCAGAAGCACTGGGTATGTAAGAAAGAAATTTTTAAAATTACACATTTTGGCAGTCATCATCTGTTATTTGTTGATATCATAAAAAAATATATGAGTTAAATGTGAACTGTGGTTTTTAGCTCTCAAGACCATTAAGGAATGGTGCTTAATTTCATCCATATGACAAGCAGCGCTCATTGTAATTAGGAGTTTCCTTATCTCAAAATAAAACATGGCTTTATGAATTCACATTTCCAAAATTACCCTAGTTAAATGACTATAAGTTAGTTACTAAATATAAAAGAAGTTACATAAATGGGAAACAGCCATTTCCACCTCTGATCTGGTTCTCTGGTTACCGCTGCTAAGCAGCTGACTCAAGCCTTTGTGGTCACGTGATCACCATGGAGCTAAGCCTCTCTGTTTCTATCTTGTCTGCCTAGATTTTTGTTTCCTCTGGAATTTCCCACCGCTGTATTATCATTCCAGTTAATGTGTTTATAGGTTTCTTTAAAAAACAAAACAAAACAAAACAACTTCCTTCTAGAAGTGTATGAAGAAGACCTTGTTCTTGCCCCCCACATGACCACAGAGAAATTCTGTATTATGTAATTATCGAGCTGGCCTGGAGACAGTAATAACTCCCACGTTGTGGTGTTGATTCTGACCTTTCTGTCCAACTACTGCACTCCAGGGCAGCAGTCTCTTGAATAAAGTCTTCATTACTGTCTTTATCTGAAGCTCTGAGACAGAATTACAGAAAAGTGTTTGATACAAGAATCAAGACATGAGATTTCTGGGGTACCTAACAGTGACAGCAATAAAACAGGAATGTGGGCTCTGTGATTTAAAAATAGATGTTTTGGAGAACACCAAAGAAACAAAAGCAAAACCAATTCCTCTGTGTTTCAGCTTCCTCATTGGTAAAAAAAGGACATAGCACAAGAACATAGCTATCTCCCCAGGAATCTTTCGCTTTTTAAGGAATTCCAAAAACTTCTGGGAAAATTCCAGGGCTCCTGCTGTTGCTGCCTCTCCCAGAGTTTATTGGAGGAAAATTTCAACTTCTAAAGTGGAGAACGACTCCCCAGGCACCCAATATCCAGCTTCTACATTTATCAATACATGGCCAATGTCATACCCTTCCCACCACCTTTATTCTCTGGAAGCAGATCTCTTACACCATATTCTTTTATTTCTGAAAGATAAAGGCTTTAAAAATTCGCAACCATAATGTCACCATAAAAGCATATATAAACAAATAAAAAAAAGATTCTGTAAAATCATTAAATATTCAGTCAGCTAGTACAGTTTTATCAGGTATAATTAATTGTCCAGTCAGGCTAGAATTCTCCAACATTTTCTAAAACAACTGGGAATAAGTTAGCATGTCGCCATTAGCAACAATGGTGACTAACACTAAATAGAAATAATCTTGTAATGCGTCTATATATGCGAGAGAGAAGGATGATTCACAGTGAACTACAACCTTTTTTTGACATCTGAGAGTATATAGAAACTGAAAGCAGAAAAAGAAATTACTAAGTGACATTTCTTAACTCTTTTTTTGTATTACTGAATATGAGAATCACCTTGTGATCGTCCTATATTTAGTAACTGAAATACATGAATATTTTTGTTGCTCTCTTTCAAAGGGATTTGAGTGGTATTATAGAAAATAAAAATTATGCTGATATCAAACTTAAACCTACTCTTAAAAAGCAACTTTATAACATAATTTCGATTTTAAAATCAAAATAAAAACAAAAATTAAATACAACTCCATTTCAAATTATAGGATTTTCCTTTCTGGTACTGCTATCTCTAACTTCCTTTATCTATTAAGAATACTCAAACCTAATTTAGAATTCTGAGATGAGTTACAAATTTTCTTTGCTTTTAAATTCTCCATAACTGCTTCAAAATGGAAATGAAAGTATGACAATAAGAACCACAAATATAAAGATTCTTGCATGATTTCTCTGCTAAGATAATACAGTATCCTTCCGGTTATACTGACACTTGAGAAACATCTTGTAAAGTGATTATCATCCTGTAGTTCAGAGTCAGGGTGTGGACTACACCTCTGGTCTCAGGCAGGGCTGCTTACTCACAAATCGCTCTTCCAAAGATCAAGTGTCATTGAGTTGAATATAACTTTGTTGCTCCTTATTTAACTGCACAATATTTTGTCGCGGCTGACTTATGATAAGTATTTCTCTCTAATTTTAGTGTCAGGAACAATTGCAACTGTTTTAAAAATTTTATTATTAATTTTTAATCTGTGACTTTCCTATTGATTTTGTTTATATCACTGAGTTGCTCACATGCACCCTAAAACCATGCTTAGGGGGCAGTCTTCACTGTATGTAGGACATCACCTTCCACTCCATATGGTCCCATATGCCTTCCTCCCTGTTCCGAGTTTCATTTTCCTGTATTTTCAGTTATTTTATTATTGTGTTATAATTGTGTGAGCAGCACTAAATCCTTTCTGGAACATGTTGAACTCATAATGCATTTTTTTTTATGGGAACATAGCGAATCATGTCTACTAGTATAGACAAATGGACTTAGAAATAATCAGCTTCAGGCTAGTAGCTGTTTAAATGGAATCTTCTAAAGCTCAAGTTTTGGTTTGATTCATTTATGATACACCTACTCAATTTTATTCCTTTTTAAATAAAATGATCTAATGAGTTCTGTCATTTCTTTTTTCAGATATCTGGTGGTTATCCAGTTAAAGAATCTGCATGGGATATGTTGTGCTTGGTAATACTATGATTTTGTTATTTATATGACTATCCAGCCTCAAGATTAATTCAATACAATTCTATATAGGAGCAGCATTCAGAAACTATGCAAATAAGGCCAAGCAAACTGAGAGATAATTGGCACTCCCCAGAATCATCTTTCTACTGTAGTATGAACAATGACACCAGGTAAGCAAATAAAAAAAGAGGTTGCCCCTGGCACTTCCTGAGTGACTAGTAGGTTCTAGGTAATTTTCTAAGTCTTATACATAGGATTTTCATTTGAGTCTGAAACCTTGCCATGTAGGTGATTGAATTAACATTTTATAGATGGCAAAATGAAAATAATTAAGGATTCTTTGTATTTGCTTGAGCTTTCTTCAGAGGCAGTGGTCAATTGGACTCAAAAGCTTCCACTTTCTGGTCTACAGCAATTCTTTGTGCTCAGACCAGTGAAGACAAATGTAAACTGACAACACAAGTTATTTCTTCTCTTTAGAACAGCCTATTTTAAGTATTTCTATCTTTAATAGTATTCTGGGATATGTTTTCTATACCATATATATCCCTCCCACTTATATATTCATGTAACCACCAACACAGTCAAGTTTTAGAACAACCTTCTTTGGTGTCAAGCCTACCCTGGTCTGAGACAACTGTCTATCTGCCGCTATAGGTTTGCCTTTTCTAGATGTTTCCTATAAATGAAGCCATGGAGTCTTTTGTGTCTGGCTTCTTTCAGTTAGCATATCTATGCTAACTGAGATTTATCTATGTTTGATAACAGTTCTTTTTTCTTTTTTAAATTACTGAATTCTATTTCATTTTATGGATATACCATATTTTGTTATTTATTCACCAATTGACTGACATTGAGTTATGTTTAGATTTTGGACTATTAAAATAGTCAATCTAAGAATATCTGAGTGTGTCTTTGCACACACTTGGGTTTTCATTTCTCTTGGTCTAACACTCAGGCATGGAATTGCTAGGTGATACAGTAAGTGAATGATTAACTTAAAAAAGAACTGCTTATTTTTTTTCCAATTTGCCTTCCTTTGTCAAGAGCAATTTCCCCATAACCTTAATTATTTAATTCTAATTATTTTACTTGTGGGGTAGTGGCATGTAATTGTGATTTTAGTTGCATTTCCCTACTGACCAATGGTGCTAGACATCTTTTTATGTGATTTTTGGCTTATTTCATCTCTTCCTTTTGGAGTGTTTGTTCAAATATTTTGTCCATTGAAAAACTGGGTTACATATCTGTTTTTTTTTTAAAGAAAAGTTAAGAGGTTAAGAACAATCTGTATTTAAAATTCTTCAACTATAGGCTTTGAAAATGTCTGACAATGTAG